AACTGATAAAGTAATCCAAACAAGGGGCACAGCTGTGAAAGTCTGAGTTTTTTCTCAGCCTGTTGTCACGTTCTATATTTCTATCACACATCTGTTACATTTGCCTCAGTCTGAGGGGCTGCTGGGAAATCATGTGCAATCACACCAGCTGGTCCTGAAATGGAACAAAGCCACATACAGAACAATGCGCAGGTACATGCAAAAACCCACATAATCACCAGCTATATTCAAGGCAAAACAAAATAGAATTTACACAATGGCATCTTTAAGTACTCTATATTTCTCGATTGATCTGAATTACGTCATTGTTGTTAGTGCTTCTATCACCACTGCTTCTCTGATCATTTTTGTTATGCAGACACTATTTCTGATCATTTGCAAACTTACTGTGCAACTTTCAACCTTTTGAGGTCATTATTAAAAAATTCTGGAAAACCCAAAAATCAGGGGCAACTTATGGAAGTTTTCAAAATCAATTGTATGTTGTTCAATTGAGTTTCATAGCCGAGTCTGACACCTTCACATATCAGTTATTAATTTGCAGATTGCAGGATCTTTTAGAAACATCTTACTTTTTCATCTAAATGTTTCTCTCTGTCTTAATGTATCTCCAATATTTTGTGTTAGAGGCATTATTTTTAACTATTTAGTTACAGATACATCATGCAGATATATGAGACCTATTGCACCTTCATATAGTAAAACTTTTTTTAAAGATTTTGATTTACAAAAGTGTAAATTACATTTGTATGTTTATATATTTACATTCTTTAAATAAACAAAGATTTCAGATTATATGAAGATGATTTAAAGTCTATTAATATCTATGTGTGATGCATCAAGACTGCTTTCTTCTTTTTTGTCTCCATCAACCAGGTTGCCACGAGTCATGCTCCGAGTGTCGTGGGCCAAGTCAGCAGGAGTGTTTGTCATGTTCAGACCTGGCATACTTACTCAAAGATGGGGAATGTGTGTCTGACTGTGGTGCGGGGTACTACAGTCAAAAAGGAGTTTGCTACGGTAAAGTTTATGTCTACACTGAATTTTGAATAGAAAAAAAACTTACATCTTTGGAAAAAATCTATACATTCTTATCTTATCTTATCTAAATATGCTATTTTCCAAATTTGCTTTTAACTTCAACAAGGTATTGTAGCTTATCCTCAAACCTATTTATGATTCAAACTACAAAACCAGTTTTTGTATGTTATGGGATCATTTTTGGTAGTTTAAACACAAAAAAAAAGTTTTAAGAAATATTTATATTGGCTTTCACCAAAAAGATACCTTGTTTTCGTCATCTTCATCTTATACTGTCACACTTATTTATTACCTTTATACCCTACAATCCTCGTGACCAACTTTGATTCAATAATTCAATACCGAAACACTGATATAAATAACTAAGAGCCTTCTAGTAATCATGAGTCACCTCTTGCACAATAGCAAACTATAAAAATTTGCTAAGTGATCTTTTTTTAGTTCAACCTGTTCATTACTTGGAATCTTCTCCTCAAATCACTTGGGAAATAATTAAAATATGTTCTTTTGTCTGCGCTAAATAAGTCATGAAATCTCAAATCATAAGAAACTGTTGATGCTGTTTTTCACGAGTTAGGTTTAAAGAAAAGAAAGAAAAAAGTATGGAATAAAATATAAGAAAATGTTGGTATCACAGCTGTTTCATATGTGCTAACCCAGTGGGGAGGAAAGGATAATTGATCAGTTAAATTACATACTCACTGTGAGCCATTGCCAAATACAATAAACAGAAAACACAATTTGACACGAGAGGTTTATTGTTTGCACTGAACTTGAGGTGAAGGTCTGTTTAGACTTTTCTCCCCGGGGAGCTTCTTGTCTGCATGCTCTTCACTTGGTGCCAATGCGTTTAAGTCAGCAATAGGCAGAACTGGCAAACAAACCATTGAAATGAAATGAAACCATAATTAGCAGTTCCCGCTGGCACTAACAAGGTTTAAGAAGCTTTTCGAATAAAGAGATCCTGTATGAATATGGATGATTTCTATTTTTGAATAGTAAGAAGAAGCAGAAAAATAAGCCTCCCTCAGGGAGAGAGTGAACTTAGCAGCACATAACTAAGGCCTTTCTGCAGATAAAAACACCTTAAGGGTTTTAGGATGAACCACTCTTTTTATTTCACTACTGTGAAAGTACTGAGGATCTCCTTTCAGAAAATGTCAGAACGTGTTGAACCTTTCAGAATAAAGGTCACATCCATTTGAACCCTCTTGTTCTTCTTTGAGGTCTGGTTTAAAATGTCAGCACCCCAGGGGCATCTAACCACTTAATTCTCCCACTAGTGGGCTTCCGGATTGAATGGGTTTTAATTTTTATCACCTTAAAAATGTAACAAGTAATCCTCTGGAATTTTGCCCCTTCTTGAGGAAGGAAAGGCTTGTTTGTGCATGATTGCAGGTCTTGTTGAGACAGGCCTCTTCAGTCACAAGAAGGTAGACTAGGGTGAAAAATATTTATCGAGATATGAAAGAGGGAAAAGAAAAACAGTTAAAAACGTAACTCTACCAAATGATTTTTGGAATGTGTTGCAGGTTTGAAAAACTGCTTCCACTAGGAGCGTCATGCTGTAATGAGCACCTCTTCTTCCAAAGTTAACGTTAAAAGGAAATTTTAAAGGACTTAAAGCCCAGAACTTCAATGACAGTCAAATCTGTGATTATTATGAATTTAACTACTTTTTTACTCTTTCAACAGTTGCTGACATTGACAATACAGTGTTCAAGCATTTTGCATGTCATTCAGATTTTATTTCTCCCCATTCTTCTGGTTTACTCATCTTAAGGTAAACATCAGAATGGAATTTATAAGCCACATTGTCCACATCAGAATTCCTTTCAAATTCACAAGGCAATGCATTTTTTCTAAAAAGAGATCCAGGATTTTAACTATGAATTCGTGAACTCAGGAATGTCCCTTGGAATCATGTTTGAATAATCATTAGCTCGAATATTCCCAATACAACTGTATCTAACAACAAATTCTAAAAGTTTCAATAGACTTAGAGCCAGACAGGCTTGAATACGCTTGTTACTAATTGCACAGACAGGGGACATTTAGCTTTTTTAATATGACTTTTTAATCAAAATGACAAAGAATAAACATTTAGATTGCTTTGGTTCGCAGCTTGTGATTCATCCTGTGCCTCCTGTTTCCCCGATGACCCCAAGTGTATGAGCTGTCCTCCGGGGACAGCTTTGCATCATGGGAAATGTATTGGGCAGTGCCCCACTCGGCACTACTTGGACAATCACAGCAGATGCAGAGGTAAGCTAAGCCTTTACGTCCAAGTTATGACATTTTTGGGATTAAATGCCAAGCTAGAAGGGAGGTCTGTTTTAAGTTTCCAGTTTATATTTAACATTAAGTAAGAAAAATATGATGCTACTTACCACACTCATATTATCAGTTTGATTAGCAGCCAGTCAGGTACAGACATTTCATAAAAGTAGATGCCCGAACACATTTACTTAATGTGGACCTTGATAATCTTTGAAATAAAAGGAACAAACCCAACAGCTACGTCTCAGACTCGACAGGCCTTAGTTAACGTGTTAATTGTTAAAGTTAATGATGTTTCAATTAGAAAAAGGACTTGACAGGAAAAAGAGAGTGAAGCATCTTATCTTAAAAAGGACAACTGCAGTATGACTGGAAAAGTGTAAGTTGAACACACAAAAAAAAACTTGATCAAAGTACTTCAGCCCTTTAAAGCCTGAACCAAGAATAAAAAAAAAACAGAAAATTACTTTTTTTTGGTTTGAATTCCTTATTTGGCCTTTTAACAAAATATGTAAAAAGAAAAAACAGAAATACATTTTTGATATTAGTAATTTATTACTATGCGATAAGTCAAGATTATTTTTTGAGTAGTCTTCTGCCCCCTGTTATCAGGTGTATCTGATTGTGTACAATAGGAATTTTGGCAAAGTTTTTACCATTAAATTATGCAAAAGGTGTCTGACGCAAAACATTTCAGAAACCGTATGTATCAAATATGATACATTTGCCATTACAGGGTTAGACAGATGAGACCAAAGTGGAGATGTTTGAAAAGAGAAATGAATGGAGTTGTTATTTATACCCTCAGCCTGCCACGACTCCTGCGCCTCATGCTGGGGTCCCGCCGTGTCCCAGTGCACCTCCTGTCTAGATGGATTTCTCCTTCACCAGGGCCAGTGTGTGGAAGCATGTGGGGAGGGGCTGTACTCTCAGGACGGCTCCTGCCAAAGTAAGAGCTTATTTATTTATTTATTTTTTTCAAATTATTTTTATTGAAACAAATGATAAGATAATACCAATAAGGAATACAGTTCACTATATTTTTTTATTTTTTGGATAAACATATAGCCTACTTGTGCAGGTATGATATAAGTCAATTTCTCCCTGGAGATCAATAAAGTATATTCAATAACTTCTCATATATACATACAAGAATAAATGTTGAAGTAGTCACACCTACTACATATACAAAAAACAAAAACAAAACAAAATAAGAACAATAAAAGAAGAGAACAACACACCCCATTCCCACCCTGTCTAAGCCCAACACATTCAGCAGAAAAATAAGATGAATAATAATAATGCTAATAAAAATCAATAAAAAAAAACATCAGTAAAGTACAGCAACAGGCACACATATTTAGTTAGGTAGGAGCTCGAAATCTGAAAAATAAGAGAGAAAACACTGCCATTTTTGGAAAAAATTGTCTGTACATCCTCTCATTGTATATTTGATTTTCTCAAGTTTAAGAAAAAACACCATGTCCTTAAGCCACTGGGCGATGGAGGGATATCTAGCAGACTTCCAGTGTAATAATATTGAATGTCTTGCAATTAAGGATGTAAAGGCTATAATATATTTTTGCTTTGAATTTAATACTACTAAGGAATCAGAAATAAGAGTTTATTTCTAAATGAATTCCAGAAAAATAAATATTAAATGACGGGGGAAAAAAAACAATCCGCCTCTTTCAATGCTTGCAATCATTTTTGGTCTGTCCATCCAGATTGTCATCCCTCCTGCCGTTCTTGTGTCGGGCCCCTGGCCTCGGACTGCCTCAGCTGCGTCAAACCGGAGGAAGTTCTCAAGCCACAATCCAGTCACCTCCAGCGTGGTATTTGCACTGCTGGATGTCCCGAACACGGCTTCCTGGATGAAATGCAGATGTGCAGACGTGAGTTTACTGGCTTGGAGGATGGGGCTTGGTGATTGTCCAGCCCTCAACATGATTATATTTTGCAAAATTACCTACATGTCCTAAAGGAATACTCTAAATGGCTTTGTGGGTACAAAGCCATTAAGAGTATTTTTTAATTCTCTGGGACAATACTCTTGCCACCTACCAAGGTGTTATTTTAGCCCTGTCATCAGGAATAATTAGTGGCATTAATGTCATTTGTTTGAAACAACTCAAGATTAATTGGAAAATCCAGAATTTAACCAGTTCTGATCCTAACTCTAGATTAAATCCAGTTACCAATTCTGCTCGAAGGTGTGCTCTCATTTTTGTGACACAGAAGCTGCAGCAAAAATTATTCTTAACATTATCTAGTCTTAATTTACAATGTCTCTTTCTGTTATCTGCTATTTTTTCTGACTTTTGGCACAGTTTTTAAATTAAATGTTTATGTTTATGGAGAGTTTTTCATCCTGAAAGTATTAATACTTTCATCCTGAATGTATTAATGAAAGATAATAGTTACAATTATTTTTTTATAGTATACAACTAAAGTATTAAATACAATGTTAGTCATAAGAATAAGAGGTTTCACTAATATAAATAGGTGTTGACAATTTTTCTAACTTTCTCACACTGAAGATTTACCACTCATAATCGTTTAAAGTAATAATTTGGCATCTGTATAAAGAGATTTTCTTAAATAATGGAGAGATTTGACTACCATTAAACTAATTGTACTTGGGCTTTCTGGAACAATGCTCCAAGATGTTGATGCTGACAGACTGACAAACAAGAGAGCTGTCAGTGTAAACAATGGAAAGAATTACAAAAGAACAAAAAATCATTACTAGAATCTAACAAAAAGATCAATTGATTGCAGTGGCTAAAAAGACACATTCATAGATACCAGATAATTAGATAAAAATCCTACCGCTGATTAATAAAATCTGCGTTAGAAAGGGACATTTTTTCCCACACTGTTGTTTGGTACAAACAAAAAACATAAAAGCATTGCTAGAATAAAAGCCATTTCCACAGTCAATGATAATATAAGGTTTTGTGCCAGTGAATATGGAGGCTTTTACCTGTTAAAAAGTCTATAATCACCACATTAGTTGGGATTTTAGTGCCATTTCACAAAGATAGAACGTAAAACGGTTTCTGTGATATCTGTGATCTATTGATTATTAATCGAAGTAAACACAAGAAACCTGTGCTACCGGAAAAAAAGGACCAGACTCGGTGAATAATTACCGCAATTTAACTGCGAATACTGGCTCAGAACCTAATGAAATGCCTATTGATCCTTTGGTTCCCGAAATAGACCAGTGAGCACTGCTGACTAACATTTGTCTGGGGTCATTGGGAAGGAACATGTCCATAACTAGGTCCATAACACCTCAAGAGACCACCTCAGTGATCCCATGGCGTCCTAGAGTCACTCCTCTAGTGCCACCCATCACTGTTCCTTACACCACAAGAACAATTTCTTCTTCCCCAAGTCACATTATGATCTATTCTTAGCTACTCCAGCCTCTCACCAACTGCACATCAGTCACAGTGTGGTGGAGATGGAGGAAAGAGGTAAGATAAAGTAGGCATGGGATTCAAACGCTGGTTCATTTAGAGGGTAATGAAAATATAGAGGGTGCCAGAGATGGAGGCAGGACAGGATGCACCAGCTGATTCAGCAGACAAGCTCACGCAAACAGTCCTACGGTCACCAAAAATGCCAACAAATACAAGGCCAACTCACCCCCCTGCTTTGACGACATTGACACGGACCACACTTTCCACCTAAATACTTGTGGGATTTCTTCCTTGCCTCTCCAATGATTGTGTTTTTGTGCTCCTCCTGTTCCATTTTTCTATTTTATTTCTATTACTATACTCTTCCTTCCTTTCTATACTCCAGCAATGTGTTCTTCATGTCAGGGCAGCTAAACAACAAATCATTCAAGGAGATTTTGGTCTAACATGTGACCAAGTTATGTGAAATATTTAGTGCTTTTCTCAGTTTTTGGGCAGACTTGAACCCTTTAGGTTTGAATGACAGTGGCCCTGCCCAGCCATTAAGTTATCTACAATCTTTTGTTTGTTCATAATCTCCAAAAACAGTTGATAGCAGGTGTGTTTGTCCAAATTGGAGTTTGGAAAAACATTTTTTTGACAAAGTTTTGTTTTTTAGAAAGGTTAGCTATGTTGGTTTCAGTCGCTAATGCTGTCTCTTTAACGAGAGACGCATTTGCTCAGAAGTCAAAGAGCTCGTCAGACCTTTTCATTTCATGTTCTTCTGGGGAAGCTCAATTTGTCTTTTTTTGTTTCGCACTCCCAACCCACAGCTGACGAAAAACAGTGGTTGCTGTGATGTAGATTCACTTGAAAAACAAAAGCTTTACCTTTTTGTTGAGCTCTCTTTGTCATCTTAAAGATGACAAACCAATTAGGTGTCAGCATCTCTGCAGATGTTGCCCAGAGGACCTGTCAAATCTCCAGTCGTCTTTATTGACTCATTAACTAGTCACCAAGATAGTTAAACTCTTTTTTTTAGAAATGTTTTATTGTGTGTTATTTGTTTAGTACTGAGTAGCAGGAACTTGTAGAGAAATGTACTGTAGATATACAACTTTCTGGTGTCATTCTGCTTATTCAAGATGAAAGACACCTCCACATCAACTTATTTAAGAAATAAAAATACACCTGTAGAGAGATCACCTGCATCATATAAGCAATGGCTTCTTTAACCATATCATCTCTAAAGCTGAACTTGTAAAAAGTATTTTTTAGGATAGAGGGTGCCTTACGGCACAGATTAAGACCAAATTCAAGCCAATTACAATCTAAATCTTTTTTATGCAGTCATGGTTGAATGAAATTAAATTCATCAGACTCTAAATTAGAGATCCTGCTGAAAGAAAATATAAACCAATACGTAGAAGTTAGTATCTTTATTTTCTTCACGTCAAAGAAGAAATGGAGCAGATTTTTGTACTATTTTTTACCATATATACTGTACATTTTCCATAAGCTTTTCTGTCACACTGAGTCGTTTATACTGTTTTACTTTACATTGCTTTATGACCATTTTAGCACTGAGCTGAGAATCAATGATAAACAAGACTATTAAGGTTCTATATACAGTAATATGTTGTAGTAGTTTTGTTCTTCTTTTAGTCTTGGCAACACAGGATCCGTGATTGTGTCGGTGGATTTGGGTCTTTGCTGGGAGCAATGCAGTCGAGCGTATGAGTTTGTGCCAATGTTTATGTCTGGTGTGCGGTTTAGCACACACACTTTTCATCAGCTTCCGTCCTGGATCAGGAGAGGATGTGTAAGCATACAAGAGACTCTCAGACTCCGGCATTTACACGTAAAGGCAAGCAGAGTTGGCCGGCTATCAAATAACCAAGATAAATTCCAGGCTCTACATCCTCTTGCTCTTCATTCAGCAGTCTTGTACAGACAGAAACAGATGGTTTCCTAATTGACAAACATAGCTTGATAGACAAATTGAGCTCCAATACACCATAATAAGGTACTTTTCTGGATTCTCTATTTTTTGGGAATAGAGGTAGTAATACTATGCTTTTGGAGTGAAGGACATTAGGGATGGTCATATAAGTCTTGGTTAACCCTTTAAAGCCTGATCCAAGAATAAAACCAAACAGAAAATTAATTTTTTTTTGTTTAAATTCCTTATTTGGCATTTTAACAAAATATGTAAAAATAAAAAACAGAAATACTTTTTTAATATTAATAATTTATAACTATGTGATAAGTCAAGATTATTTTTTGTGTAGTCTTCTGCCCCCAGTTATCAGGTGTATCTGATTGTGTACAATAGGATTTTGAACAAAGTTTTTACCATTAAATTAAGCAAAAGGTGTCAGAGGCAAAACATTTCAGAAACCGTATGTATCAGATATGATACATTTGGCATTATAGGGTTAAAGTTATATGTTAGAAGACCTATGTTTGTTTGTATTTTTCAATGTTATGTTTAATGGTGTTAATCACTTCTTTTTTTAACTCAAGACCCATAGTAAAGCTGATTACAGCCTGTTTAACCAAAGAAGACACAACCCACCAAGGTGACTGCCAGGGTTTTTATTAAGATCAGGTGATGTGAATCATCTCTATTTCTTTCATGAGATTTAGAGAGAAAAACTCCATGAAATATCTTGACAAATCAACAAGGTGAAAAAAACCCTCCATCCATCCATTTTCCACTGCTAAAACTAAGTCCTTTTTAAAATCTGGCCCAACAAAAGCGCCAAATGGAACCCTAAAATCTGCCAATAGCCTCTCACCATACTGAGAGAAAGAATTCTGCAGTTTAGTTGATCAGCTTCAAAGGATCTTTTATCTGACCTTTAATCTGATAATCAATGAGAATCTAGACAGTATTAAGGTTCCATGTACAGTTATTTGTTGTAGTAGTTATCTTCCTGCAGATGGCCAATATAAGTCAGGTCAGACTGGGAGCAGACCAATTTATGTACTCTATTAGGAGCTCACAGCAGTTGACGTTTCCTCAAAATTGCATTGCTCAGAAACAGACAGAACTTGAACACATCATAACACTGGAGAATCAATATGAATGAAACTTTAGCTGCTCCACCAGGTTGAGATACAGCCATCCGCCATAACCTCTGCCGTGTGCCAGATTTATTTTCTGTGTGATGATAAGCTCTTTACTGTCCTAGGAGAATCATTTATGGAAGGCATTAAGGATCTCTCATACCCTCAAACTAAATCAGAACCTCATCAACTGCTCCCACTTAAAATTATGACCCTATCAGCACAAAACAAAGTAAGGAATCTGATTCGCTGTGCTGGAGTTCCAGGTAATGTGAGAGAGAATGCCTGTGCGCTGAATTCCTGTGCACAAGGAATCAATTTGCCCTCTGTGGCCGGACACAAATTAGCTATTCAAGTAGCAATAAATATTCTTGGGGCCTCCGATTAT